TTAAAGTTTGTAATTAACTGTAAGTTTATCCCTAATATTAAAGTTTATAATTAACTATAAATTACTATCCCTAACGTTAAAGTTTATAATTAACTATAAGTCTATTTTTAATGTTAAAGTTTGTAATTAACTGTAAATTACTATTCCTAATATTAAAGTTTATAATTACCTATAAGTTACTATCTCTAACGTTAAAGTTTATAATTACCTATAAGTTACTATCTCTAATATTAAAGTTTATAATTACCTATAAGTTACTATCTCTAACGTTAAAGTTTATAATTAACTATAAGTTTATCTCTAACGTATAACAGGCTAGGCCTAGTAGAACCTTAGTAAGTAAAGCCTTAGAGCTTAGCTACTCTAACTACTAATACCTACTAGAAATAGCTAGTACGCTACTAGAAGGACTATAAGTAGAGGAAAACTAGTACTATAGATCCTTAGTAAATTTATCTAATTTATACTAGTAACTACTCTTAGAGTTAGCCTCTTATATTTAAATTTGCTTATAAAAACCCTTTTAGAAATTAGAAGAGTTCTAGAAAACTATTAGTAGTATATTTATTAAGAGAGATACTATAGTTACTAAGCTAAAAGCAGAAGCTTTATAGCTAGTAGAAATAGGCTTTACATAAAAAGTAATTAAGATATACTTCTAAACTATAGCTAGACAGAACCTAGATAAATAAAAAGTATAGCTAAAACTCTAACTAGTCTCCTAAAGTCTCTAAGAAGATAAATAATAAATAATAAGGTTTATAAATATACTAATCTTAATAGCTAGCCTATTATTAGTAGTAGCTAGCAAATAACTAGTTAATAAACCTAATAAATAACTCTTTCTAGAAGAATTACAAAACGCGTTATAAATACTAACTTAAGAAATTAATATTTTTAAGAATAGTATACTACTACTACTTACCTCTACTAAATAAAGGGTATAATAATTAAAAGAAGAAGTGCGTAGACTAAGAGTAGTCCTAGAACTAGTTTTCTCTATAGTACCTATTAGAACCTATATAAAAAACTTTAAGATACTAGATTCTAACTACTTTAATAGTAACTAGAAGGACTATTAGAGGTTCTAAACCTAGATAAACTATAAGCTAGAACGTAATATTAGAGAACTAGAATTAGGCCCTAGGTATATCTTTAACTAATTAAAGGGGCCTACAGCTAGTATTACCCTATTATAGATAAACTATAACAAAATAGGTACTACAGAAGGCCTATAGATATTCCTAGATAAATAATTTATAGATAACTTATACGCTAAAAGGGCTAGGCAGAAACTTTAAAACTTTTAGTAAAGAAAGCTTTCCTTATAATACTTTAATATAGAATTTATAAGGCTAGCCTTTAAAGTAGAAAAGAAGAGTAATACTAATAACTTAAAAATAAGGTATCTTAGCGCTCTACAGCCTAACTTATAAGACTAAATAATATCTATAGAAGTACTAAGTAACTAGACTATCTAGTTACTAATAACTTAGATAGTTACTATTAAGGAAAATCTTTTTAGAGCTAAAATTAGGTCTACCTTCTTATATATAAGGTCTTTTTAAAATAACTCTATAGACTAGGAACTCTTAAAAGCTTACTTTAGTTAAGTAATTAAGGTAATAGGTAGAACCTAAAATAGAGCTAAATAGGTCTCTAAAGAAGAGTACTCTCTTTATAAGAAAAAGAACCTATATCTATATTACAAAAAACCTAGGTACTATACTAATAAGTACTTTTTAGTACTAGCTAATTGTCTAGCTTAAGCTACCCTTATAGTAACCTATAACCTAGAAGAGTCCTTAGATAAGGAAATAGTAGGTTTAAAAAACTAGAAATCTCTATATATAGACGTAAGTAGAGGTATAAGAAACTAAATTAAAAAGAAGAGTAGTTCTTATTATTTTAGTAGAACTAGCTAGATAAGAAACTATTAACTATCTATATAATTATTAATAATATAGCTATAGTATCTACCTTAATTAATACTAGCTACTTAACTTATTTAGTTATCTTCTTTAAGTTTATAAGAAATAATAATCTAAAGTATACTATAATTACGTAAAGACCTATTATTAGAGTAGGAGAAAAGTCTTTCTAGATAAAAGTAGCTATCTAAATATAGATAGATATAGATAGCTATAAAGAAGAAATATAGGCCTATAAGCTAGGAGGAGATAAAGAGTATAACCTTATTCTAGAAAAACTCTAGATAGATAGATACTAAGTAACGCTAGTACTAGTAAAGAAATCTATATTTATCTATAGTAGCTAGACTAGAATATAAAGCTAGAAAGGTAAAATACCTATAAAGGTTTCTAGAGCTATTAGTACGTAGGTATATTTAGCCTAGACTAAATAATTTTAAAAAGATAAATAGATCTAACTATACTTTACCTTTATAGTAGATATTAAGAAAGTGCTAAAGAAAAAGAAAATAGTTAACCCTTAGAAAAAGCTACTAAGCTATTTATAAAGTAAGTTTAGAACTTTTTTAAGAGAGAAGGCTAATAAGCTTACACTACTAAGAAGAGCTACTATTAACTACTTTATTAAAATTATAGAGAAAGATAGTAAGCTAGCAGAAATTTTATAAGAGCTACTATATAATATATTAAAAAAAGAACTGCTAGTATTACAGAAGGAACTTATATTATACCTAAACTATAGGTTTATTTAGGTAAGTAAATCTAGTGCTACTACTTCTATTCTATTTATAAAGAAACCTAGAGAAGGGCTATAATTCTATATAGACTACTAAGCTTTAAATACTATTATATATAAAAATAGATATTCTCTTCTACTTATTTATAAGATACTATCCTAAATTACTAAAGTAAAATAGTTTATAAAGGTAGATATTATCTAAGCCTTCTACTAGATACGCGTAGTAGAGAGAAATAAATAGAAAACAGCGTTCTATACCTAATTTAGGCTATATAAATAGCTAGTTACTTTATTTAGCCTTACTAATACTTCTAGTATATTCTAATAATATATTAATTAGGTACTTTAGAAAGACTTAGATGTATACTACTTAGCCTATATAGATAATATACTTATTTACTTAGATAAATTACAGAAAGATTATAAACGCTAGGTTAAGATAATTATTTAGAAACTTAGAGTAGTAGGCTTATAACTAGATATTAATAAATATAACTTTAGTATTAAAAAGACTAAGTACCTAGAGTTTATAATAGAGGTAGGTAATAGTATTTAAATAAACCTAGAGAAGATAGTAGTAATCTACACTTAAAAATAGCTAAAGAGCGTTAAGGGTATTTAAAGTTTTATAAAATTTACTAACTTCTACTAATAGTTTATTAAGAGATTCTTAGAAATTATTACTCTACTAACTAAACTTACTAGAAAAGAAGTAGTATTCTAATAAAGGAAACTCTAGGAAATAGCGTTTTTTAAGCTTAAAAGTGCCTTTATTTCTAAGCTAGCATTAGCTAACTTTAACCTAGACCTAGAAATAGTAATAGAATATAATACCTCTAGGTAGGTAACTAGTAGGGTCCTTTTATAGTTTAGAAAAGATAGGCTACTCTATATAGTAGTATACTACTTAGTAAAGAATATAGCAGCTAAAGTAAACTATACTATATATAATAAAGAGCTATTAGCTGTTATAAAGTATATTAATTAATAGAGTACTAAACTCTAGTAAGTTCTAAAGTTTACTATTATTATAGATTATAAGAACCTAAAGTATTTCTATACTATAAGGCTGCTATCTAAGAGGTATATATACTAGTTAAATATACTTAGCTAATTTAATTTAACCTTTATATACTACCTAGAGAAGGTTAATAGAAGAGCTAATATACTCTTCTAGAAAGAAAAGAATTTACTAATAAGCTAAAATAATAAGTATTTAAAGATAAAAGAATTTTAGCTTTTATAGCTATATATAAGGAGCTAACTCTAACTTAAAGAAAAGAAAGAAGTAGGTATTTTATTCTACTACTAAATATAAAGTCTATAGCCTTAAAAACCTAATAACGTGCCTTTAGTAAATAATAACTTTTTACTAAAACCTAATAGTATACCTGTAAGAATTACTACTAATTCTACTTTAGCCTATAACAGCTTAGAGAAGCTTAAGAGAATATAGGAAGTTATAGCTAAAAATAACCTAATATACAGAAGAGTAAAGAAGGCTATAAAAATAGGTTAAAGAAAGTTTTCTTTAGACCTAAACTTAAAAGTCTTATTAGTAGAGTATACTATTAATAAAAGAAGGTTTCTACGCTACTAAGAGTAAAAATAGGTACTAGATTTAAAAGAACTACGTACTAAAATTATCTTAGAAACCTATAAATTCCTAGCTATAGGCTATCTAGGCTGTAAAAATACCTACGTAATTTTAGCTTATAACAACTTCTTCCTAGAAATATTATCTATAATAAGGTAATTTATCTAAAACTGTAATATATATAGAAGAACTAAGCCTTAGAGAAAACTAAAAAGAGAACTGCTAAGACTACTCTTCTTTCTAGATAAAGTATAAAAGAAAATCTTAATAGACTTTATTATTAATTTACCTATAAGTAATAGGTACTAGTACCTTATAGTAGTTATAGATAGGCTAAGTAAAGACATAATACTTATTCTATTAAAAGATCTAGATACCTAAATAGTAATAAGAGCTTTTATAGAAAGAGTAGTAGCCTACTATTAGCTCCTAAATACTATTATATCTAACTATAGTAGCTAGTTTATTAGAGATTTTTAGAAAACCCTTTATAGAAAATTAGGTATTACCTATTAGGTATCTACTAGCTACTATCTAGAAACTAATAACACTATTAAAAGAATAAATAGTACTATAGAATTCTACTTATAGGCCTACGTTAATTAGAAATAAGATAACTAGGCGCTAATATATTCTACTACTTAAATTGCTATTAAAGAAAGAAACGCAGTATCTACTAGTATTAGCCTATTCTTTCTATAATACAGATATAATATAGATATAGTATAGAAAGACACAGAATAGGTAATTTAGTAATAATATTAGAGGCCTAATAATCTAGAAAAGTTAGCTAGAATACTTACTATAAAATTTATAGAAATACTAGATTATATATAAGTAAAAATAGCAGAAGCCTAATAACTCTAAGAAATCTAGGTTAACTACTATTAATAAGAAGTACTATAACTATAAGAGAGAAACTAAGTATAGCTATAGTATAGAAAACACTTCTTTAATAGTAGGTTAAGTAAGAAACTAGACTAGAAAAATATAAAGTTCTAGGTAGAGAAAGTAATTTTTTTTTATACTATAAGATTAAATACTTCTCTAGGTATTTACCTAGTATTTTATATAAATAGGCTACAGCTATACTCTAGAAACCCTCTAGTAGGATAAAATACTAATATTTACTAACCTAAGAGTATATTAGAAAATCTTAATAGAAAACTAGAAAACTACTAGAAAATTAAAGAAATTATAGGTAAAAGGTAGAAATAACGCAGTAGAGAGCGTAAGAAATAATACCTAGTTAAATAGAAAAACTATACTATAACTTTATAAAAGCTAGTAGAAAACCTTAAAGAAGCTAAAGTACTAAATAGCTAGTTAGCCTTTTCTAAGAAAAAATAAAATAATACTAGTAAATTACTAAAAGATTTCTAAAAGAGTTTCTCTAATAAACTATAATAATACTAGGGCTCCTAGTAATAGTAAAGTAGAAGTAGAGAAAGTAATATTTTTAGTAATAAGTACTATAGGAAACTATAGGCAGTTTACTAATAGATACTCTTACTAGAGCTAAGAATATAGATAGTTAAGAAAATTAAAATATTACTAGAAGAAGAAGAAGAAAAATTAGTTAATAAGTATAAAATTAACTACCTATAGGTAGCTAAAGTATTACTAATAGAGTACTATAGGTCTAAAATACTATACTATACTAGGTATCTACTAGAATACTAAAGGAAAAACCTAAGAAACTACTACTATATTACCTTATTCTTACTACTAATAGTAGTATTATTCTTAAAAGTATTTTAATTACTAGTACTACTATTATTCTTACAGATAGGTAGCTCTTAAGGCTTAGAAGGAAGAGAGATAAGCTTAGTAATAATATTAATAAGATACTTAGTCTAACCTTTAGTAGTCTTAGCCTAGAAAAGTATAGAAATTAGCTAGAAAAGTAGTAAAACTAGAAAGAAAACTTACTAGAACTAAAATAGCCTTACTCTTATAATTAAGTATAGCCTAAATATTACTAAGCTTAACTATAATAATATAAAGAAGTAACTTAGTAATAGTATTACTAAAGTTATTATCCTAATACCTAGGCTAACTAATAAACTTCTTCTTAGCCTCTTACTAAGCCTTAATAAGCCTAGAACCTAACTTATTAAAGTATAAAGTAATAGACTTTATAGATATATTACTAAGAGAGATAGTAAAGAGACTATAAAAAAAGATAACCTTAGCCTTAAGCTAATTAGAAACCTACCTAAGAGTTAACTAGTAGTACCTAAGTAAAGGTAAATATTACTTACCTTATAATAAGTAGTATACTAGAAATATTAGGTTATTAATTATTAACCTAAAAGTACGTAAAAATAGGTATATACACGCTAAGCTAGTACCCAAAATCCAAACCTAAAAATTAGGTAGATGTAATATCTAGACGCAAAAACTACCTATACGCAATATACTAACTTAAAAATTAACTAGATATAAAAATTAACTAGACTTAAAAATTACGTAGACCTAATATATAGACTTAAAAATTAACTAGACGCAAAAATTAACTAGACTTAAAAATTAACTAGACGCGAAAATTACCTAGACCTAATATATACCTTCTATACTAACCTAGATAACTATAGAGTGTCTAATAACTTTTAGAATAGTTAAATAAATCTAGAACAGCCCTAAAAGAGTAGGCTACCTTAATAATAAAACTATATAGTAGTTAGAAACTAGAAGTGTATAATAAGAACTATTACTATACTACTATTTACTACTTAATACCTAATCTAAACTTATTATCTTTAGTATCTTAGACCTTATAAACCTTTTCTATTTAACTAGAATTATCTCTAAATAAGTTAGCTATATAAATGTTTACTAACTTCTTATTATTAGCATCTTCCTACTATATTTATTCTAGAAGAGCTTATCTATTTATATAAGAGATATATATTAAAGTAATAGTATAGGTAAGACCTATAGCCTTCTTATTATACTTAGCTAATAGCTCTATCTACTAGGCTAGTCTTATCTATATAATAGAACACTTAAGGTAGGTATTTAAAATTTTTACTTAGAGTAATAATATAAAGATTTCTATACTAAACTAGTTACGTAGTATATTCTATCTCTTTCTATATTTAAGGTACCTACTATATAATATCTATTCCTTAGGAAAATCTTATTTTAATATAGCAGTTATAGGCTGCCTAGATATTAGGTTAGTAAGTTACCCTCTATAGACAGCTAAGAATAATTACTTCTTAGCTAATATTATAAAACCTTAACCTCTTTTAGAGCGCTTAGCTTTACTTTATATTAACTTTTTAAGTTTCTTATATTCTATATAGAAAGAGAATATAATCTATTAATACTATATTTTACTAACTAGGGTAACTACTTTATTAGACTGTGTAGTAAAGAATAGGTTTCTAAAATTAGCTATATCTAGTATTAAGAGTCTACTACTATTATTTAAATTTAATAAGGTCTAGGTTAGAGCTATCTAGGTATTTTACTATCTAATTATACAGTCTAGCTTATCCTCTAATTTAGATCTAGTAGTAAATAGAATAGAGAATCTCTAGCTATTACTCTTAATAAATAACAGCTAACTCTTATTAAACTATAACTACTATATAGAAAGAACTATAACCTAGTTCTTAATTAATTTAACTATACTAACTGCAATAGCTCTAGTAATTATACTAGTAACTATAGTTACACTAGTACTAATAAATCTCTTAGAGAAATTCTAGTATTAAATCTATTTATTACTTAATAAGGTAATATTCCTATTAGCTATAGTAACCTTCTAGCTGCTAACTACTATCTATATAAAAGTAGTATTTAATTATTCTATTAACTCTTTAGTTTTCTTGTGTAAATTAGTATTATAGCTCTTTTTAGCCTGCTTAGTACTATATATACTATTATTATTAGTATTCCTTTAGTCTATAGCCTCTTCTCTGCTTTTAGTAGTAATACTATCTAGGGTATTATATATAGTAGTAACTACCTTAACTAGTTAACGTTAATTAATTTACTAGCAGATCTACTCTAATACATCTAGTAGACATTATGTAATAAATATTTAGAAACCTTTATTTCCTTCTAGTACTACTTAGTACCTAGCAGACTTACCCTCTAAATACTTAGATATATAGTTAATAAGATTAACTCTTTCTTCTTAACTTATAATATCTAAAGAATATTTCTCTATAGCTACTCTAAGGATAGATGTAGATATTTTAATAATAGAGTTATTATAATAGAAATATATACTCTTATAATTCCTAGACTACTATTTTACTCTAGGTTCTAAGCTTATAGCGTAACGCTAATATACGTCTTATAGCTAAGCACATTACGTTAGGTTACGTAGATATAAAGTTTATTTTTTATTTAGTATAAACTCTATAGTATTTTATTTAATATAGTAGGAGGAAACAAAATAGCTTTATTTTAAGTATATAATAATAAAACTATTATACTATATCTATAATATTAATATGTATAATAATTACTTCTGCTTTTATAGCAGATATATTTATATACAGCTAATAGAAGGAAATACTAAGATAAGAGTTTTATAAGCAGTAATATAGTAGCTGCACTACTATAATAGTAGTAAAAAAGGTTATATATAATATATATTTAAACAGCTAGTATCTCTTAATTTATTAGTACTATATATCTTTATAAAAATATATTAAATATTTATATCTATTCTTTAATTAAGGTAGATATCTAATATAGAATTATTATCTATATCTTTTACTAATATATAGTGTTACTAGACAAAGTTCTAGCCTACTTTATTAACCTCTATTAAGTATAGACAACCTCTAGAGAATAAAAGAATATATAAGAAGCTATTATAAGCCTACTAGTATATATCCTATAAACCTTAAAGAAAATATACATAGAGTTTAAGCTTTTACTAATATCTATTAAGGCTATTCTAGAACTTAGAGTTTATAGAGACTCTATTTAATATACTAGCTACCTCCTTATTCTTAGAAGAAATAGTATAGAAAGAAATATAAAGATATATATCTATAGTTTATATAGCGTAAATATAAATAGTATCTAAAAACTCTAT